ATTAAATCATCATTTACTTCTTTCTTTAAATGGTCCTAAAGATTTTAGAAATTATAATTATGAAGAAGCATATACTTTTTGGAATAGTGTTCCTAGATTTAATCTAGTTAATTTTTTTTTGTAATCTTTTTTTTTGATTTTTATAAATAAATATTATAATTTGATATTAGAAAAAATTTGTGCATATTAAAATTACTTTGTGTACATATGATGTCATAAAAATATGCACGTTTTGGTTTAGATTTTACACACTGCTGAGTACTCCCTCTTTAATAGCATCATACATTTCATTCGCTTCTCTAGCATTTTCGCTATGTATCATTTTCTGATTAGCTATGTACTATATCAATAATAAATTTTCATTTCTCAAACTTTCTTTTAGAAAGTTTCACTTCCTTACATCTATTTGAAGCTAGAAAATTTAATGCTCTTTTTTTCTGAAATCTTGAGAATGATCGCATGTGACTGATCAGGTACGCCAAAGATTTTGGAAGTAAAGTTGAGGAGCACCGTATTTATAAAACACATTTAGAAGTAATTAATAACAATCCTAATCTACTGGAGAACCGCAATATTGGAGCAACCTGAGAGTCAGCAAGACGGGCGTTAAATAATTTTAAGGTTTGTAAATTTTTTAATAACGGAATATTACGAAGGCCAAAAAGTACTAGGATACGTCTGAAAGCCCAACAGATATGTCTGGCAGTTGTACTTTGATACGTTGGATATGTCTAAAGAGTATCGGGCATAACTTCAAATTTCAGAATTATTTTTATTACTAACTTTGTCTGAAAAGTGCTAGAATACGTCTTAAAGCCCAACGGATACGTCTGGCGGGTTGCACTTTGATATGTTGAATACGTCTAACAATATTAGGTTTTTCCTTTCTATTAATTCATTTAGGAAGAGGCAAATTCGAATAAAGTCACCGGTCTTTGGAAAAATAGCTCGTCTTTCTTAAACATGCTGAGAACGGCTGTGGATCTTATACTAACAAGATTCTTAATTGAGTGTCTGATTTACATGACGATGTTAGCCAGACAATCTTTAACGTCACTAAAGATAAATTACGTTTTGGTAACACATTTAAGTTTCATTATATCTTGTATTCGTATCATCCTTCTCTTCAACTTGGAATAATAATAAGTATTGGTAATACTGCTAGAACGTAAACGAGCTCATTTTTATGAAGAAAACTCGCAAAAATCATCACCAAAAAAGACCAAGGCTGACTATATTAATGACGAAAACACAGATAACTCAGAAGAGTGTGA